GGCATTTCGGCTTCCGAAATTCGATGTAATGCATAGTCTTTGGATACTTCATAGACAGTATTGAGTCGAGCGGCAACGTTTTCGAATGGCTCGCATAAATCGAGCAGATTGTCTGGCACATACTCCTTCGGCACTTTTATCTTGCCTATATCGAGCCCTAGCAATCGCCAGAATTCAGCAGTACCACTGCCCTCATGTACAGCTTCAAAATGCCTCGCATGGCAGCCCAGTTCACCGGTTTTGTCGCAAATACTCCTAGTTATCACAGCTGCCTGAAGTGGATAAAGATACGAGCTAAGAAAACCCTCCGAAGCACCCAAGTTTCTACATAGCATTCGCGTGATACTTCACTGGGGGAAGAGCACATAAGTTTTCCGATTCGAGACAACAGTTCACACTTATACAAAGTTACTGAAAAAAACATTTACAAGCTGATACATTGACCCGCTCCTCCCAACTGCCTTTACAGACGTATGATTCAAGCAGCTGCCGCGAAAGTCTGCTGAGTCACCGGCAGATAACAGCAAATTCTGGATCAGTTTAAAAGGCCAGGGCCAAACAGAAGTGGAGAAATAAGCTTGATATGCATGCTCTCTTGAGTTGGATAACAAGTTCAGCAAACATATGATACAGTAATTGAACTAAATGCCACAGCCACACAGCGCTCAAATGTCAGCGGTAGAGGGAGTGCAGTAAGAATGTTGAACAGGGACGGTCCACGATTAAATGGCTGGGTTTTCGAAACCCGCTTGTTGCGAATAACCCGCGGAACGCCAGCAGAGAAGCCGTTACAAAATAAAATATAGAACTGCTCATAGGAGACAAGGAAGAAAAAGGTGTATTCTGCCTTGAAAGGTAGGTACACAGTAGATTTACTGTCAGATTCATTCTGAAACACAAGGCCGGTGCTGTAGTGGCTAGCGCGTTGTGCTCGAATATGAAGGGGAGTTCCCTCCTGGTCCATAACAATTTTCGACAACGAGTTCCGTTCACGACACCACTAAGTCCGCGCACTCTTGCTTTTTAGAAACAGCGAAAACAACTCGTTGATCAAAATTCGAGGTATGTGTCAAGAAACAGAAGGACGCTTGAAACTTGGCTAAAAATAGTCAAAATAGGGCACAAGAACGAGCGCAGCTGCTGAGCTACCTACGTCCAGTTGGTACGCATCGCCCATCCAGTGCATATGCGCCACCTTTAACTGCTCGAATGGTCGTTTATTTTCGCGCCGACGTCACTCACTAATCTTTACTTTTCATTTGCGACCTTGACAATATAAATTTAGCTTTCACGTATGTTTAGGTCTCATATACGGTTACGTGAAAG